AACTTGGCACACATCTGGTCCGTATTTCCCGAGGGCTCCATCTATGCCCCTCGTTTCTTTCCTCAAAGTCTGCCAGAGAGTTAGTACCCTTGGACTTTTCTTCTCTCAGAGAAGAACAGTATAATGTGCCTTTTACACTTCAAGAACTGGAGGCAACGCTCTCAGCTTGCCGATCATCGGCAGCTGGGCCTGACGACATTCATATTCGTATGTTACAACATTTACATCGGTCAGCCCTTGTAGTCCTCTTACACCTCTTCAATCTTATTTGGGCACAAGGAGTTCTTCCCCAGCTGTGGAAATCTGCCATTGTTCTCCCTTTCCGCAAACCGGGTACTACAGGACATGATGCCTCCCACTATCGTCCCATCGCTCTTACTAGTGCAGTTTGCAAAGTGATGGAACGTCTCGTAAATCGACGTTTAATGTGGTATTTAGAGACACACAACAGTCTCTCCGCTAGTCAATATGGCTTTCGTAAGGGTCGTTCTACCATAGACCCCTTACTACGCTTGGATACGTATGTTCGTAATGCCTTTGCGAATAATCACTCAGTTATTGCCATATTTTTTGACCTTGAGAAGGCATATGACACAACTTGGAGGTATAATATTTTGGCCCAGGCCCATTCCTTAGGCCTCCGAGGCAATCTACCATCCTTCCTTAAGAACTTTTTAACTGACAGACATTTCCGTGTTCGAGTCAATAATGTTCTTTTTTCCTCCGGACTTCGTCCAATCTGAAGGTGTCCCACAGGATGTGTTCTATACAAACAACACGTTTCTCCTTGCTATAAATGGTTTGGCCTCTGTTCTTCTCCCAATATTTGGTCCATCACTCTATTTTGATGACTTCGTATTGCTTGTGCAGGCGCTGAACTGTCATCTTATTGCAGTTTCTCATCCAGCATGCGTCGACCGTGTTCCACTTGGGGCCATCCACGCATGGGTTTAAAATTTTCAAGTACCAAACCTCACCAAATTACATTCACGCTAAAGCTCTGTTATCTCCCGATATCCTTTGTATCTCTATGGCTCCCCGTATCCCGAACGTGATACAGTCAGGTTTCTATTCTAGGCCTTCTCTTTGGACCGTCGGTTATCCTGGAAACCCCACATTACCACTCTGAAAGTCAACTTGTCACAGCCGGCTAAACCTTTCTTAAAGACCCTTTGCCTCATCTTTCCTGGGAGCTATCGTCGAACTCTGCTTCACTTGCTACCTTCAGGCGCCTCATTTTATCGAATCTCGATTATGGGTGACAGATTTATTCGCGGCCGGTCTTCCTGCCTACTGCTCTCTAGCTTAACTCTATCCATCACCAAGGATTACGATTGTGCCTTGGTGCTTTTCTTCGCTCTTCCCCCCCTGTTGAGAGCCTCTATAACGTAAGCAATGTTTCCATCCTTGTCTGACGCCGTGATGGCCCATTGCCTTCCTACTACGTACGCTCTCACGATCTTACAAAACCTGTCCATTTATAAATGGTCACCGATATAGTAGACATTCTTTATTCTTTCGCTGCCCTTTTGCTCTGTCCCATTTCCTCTTCGCCTACATACACTCATTGGTCCTTTCCCTTCAGTTAACCACCTTTTAAAGTTCATGTAGCATCTCACTTTTCCCTACCCCCTGGGAAGTCAGCTGTTTTCGGGTCTGTTCTTTCTCAATCCCTTGCGTCGAAAGCTCAACATGCCTACGGTGGCTTCCCGCTCTCTTTTTCCTTGATCACTCCACTCCCATTCTCATGCCACCGCTGTGTACACAGATGGCTCCTAAGTCCTCAGACGGGCGTCGGATCGCAGCAGTGTTTCCGGTCAGCATCGTGCAGGGACATTCTATCTTCAACAAGCATTTTTTACTGCTGAACTGTTGCCATTCTTACAGCACTTATATCCGTATCGCATCTAATGCCTGGTGTCATCATTTGTAGTAGTCTCAGACTCCCTTAAGTGCTCTAAACAGCTATACGAAAATTTGAGATACATCTCATCCCCTAGTCCTCCTTATCCAACTCTGGCTACGTCCGTATCTCTACCAAACATAAAGAGATACTGTTTTTTGTTGGGGTCCTGCTGGGTCCATGTCAACGTTACAGGGCATTGACAGGCAGACACTGCAGGCGCGTTTCCAGCAGTTCTACATGACCTACCAATTTCCTAATCGAGGTGTTCCATTTCTGGACTATTTTTGCTGCAATAGCTACCCACCTTCGCACGCCAATGGCAAACAACTTTGGTCACCTCGCTCGGTAACAAACTTCATTCTATTAAACGAGCATAGGTTACAGGCCGTCTTCTTGTCATCAGTGCCGGGGGGTTGGGAGACCACACCTCCCGCCTTCTCATTGGTCACAGGACTCTTCTTACTCATGGGTTATCACATGGAGAGTCACCCTGTCCTCTCTGTGAGCATGAGTCAAGTTCCAGTATCGATTAGCCACATTCTGTTAGTCCTGCCTCTCTATCAACGAGCATGCAGAATTTACGCTCCAACTGTCGTCTTCGTTCTACTCCTCTCTCTTACCTTCCCTCTTGCTGATTGACACTCCTTTAATCCTGACTCTCTCATTGACTTCTTGACAATGACTTGATTGTACCCCACAAACACTGATATACTTTTCACACTCCCCTCAGCCCTTTCTAGTTCAGTCTTCTTGCTGCCCTTTACCTTTCACACCATCCAATACATTCGCTGTTAACCTGTAACCTATTACTCATCCATCTCCGCTTTGCACTTGAAGCCCTCGCTTTCCTTCCTGCCCTGCAGCGCTGTATGAGTGCCTTTGTGGCTTAGCGCTTCTTTTTTTATTATAATAATAATAATCCAAGGTAATGTAATTAAAAAATAAAGTTTGATTGGGTCACAGGTTGAAATTATGAGATACAATAATGAGAAACATTTATGAGATACAATTTATGAGATACAATTATTCAGTATATATTTAGTTGTGGGTGAGTAATTTTTGAGAAGAGACTTGAATTTATAAACAGACAGTGTTTCTTTTATATTCACAGGTAATGAATTCTAGATTTTAGGGCCTTTTATGTGCATTGAATTTTTGCATAGCGTGAGATGGACACGAGGAACATCAAAGAGTGATCTGTGCCTTGTGTTATGTTCATGTGTTCTGTTGAGGTTGGTAAGGAGACGTTTGAGGGGAGAGTTTATATCAGAGTTAAGTGTTCTATGTATGTAGTAGGTGCAGTAATAATTATGGATGTTTTGTATGGTGAGTAGGTTTAGAGTTTTGAATATTGGTGGAGTGTGCTGCCTGTAATGGGAATTTATCATCATTCTGACTGCAGCCTTTTGTTGGGTAATTAATGGTCTGAGATGGTTTATTGTTGAGCCCATGTACAAATTCCATAGGTGAGATAGGGGTAAATAAGCGAGTGATATAGGGCCATGAGGGCTGACTGTGGAACATAGTACCGTATCTTCGATAGTATACCTACGGTCTTGGAAATTTTCTTGGAAATTTGTTGTGTGTGTGTGTTTGAAATTTGAGTCTTATCAAGGTGGATTCCTAAAAAATTTCCACCAGGAGGCCTGGTCACAGACCGGGCCGCAGGGGCGTTGACCCCCGAAACTCTCTCCAGGTAATCCAGGTATGTGAATTTTGTGATAGGTGATCCGTTTATCATTATGTTAAGAGGGACGTCTGTAGCTCTGTTTCCAAACTGAATGAAGTAGGTTTTGTCAAAGTTTAGAGTAAGTTTGTTAGTCCTCATCCAGGTAGATATTTTCTACAATTCGCTATTTACAGTATTGGCTAGCGTGACTGGGCTCGGGTGAGAGAAGACGTATGTAGTGTCAGCTGCAAATAGTGTGGGTTTGAGTAGTTGCGATACATTTGGTAGGTCATTTATGTATATGAAAAAGAGAAGAGGGCCTAGGACACTTCCCTGTGGGACATCAACTGTAATTGGCTGTGCGGAAGAGTTTGCCCCATTTGTGTACACATATTGGCTTCTGTTGCTGAGGTATGAATTTAGGTAGTTGAGGGAGTGCCCTCTTATACCATTTTATATGGAGCAAGTCATGGTCAACTGTATCAAAAGCTTTACGTAAGTCAATGAAGATCCCCAGTGGGAAAGCTGGGTAGTTTGGCCCGAGTCATGTAATAATGATTCTCAATATACAATTTATAATCAAAACCACTACAAGTTAAAATGTATTTATTTTTTTTTTACAATAACAATTCTTTTGGCTATTAAAAGTAAAACAGTTTAATAGAAAAATACGATTTAAAATCCATGGAACACAGAAAAATGAAATAAGCATGGAATTAAAAAAAATGAATACAATAAAAAATTAATTTACAAGGAAGGGAATATAAAGGAATACATTATACAATGAATAAAAAATATGAATATACATAGTATACATTGAATAAAAATGTGAATATACATAGCAGCAAAAATAAGTTTTTCTAACATGGGATTACATTTCCATAACGTCGCAGTACAAACTCCCACAGTCGCATAAAAAAATCTAAACAGCCGTAAGGTATTAAATTTCTTTATATTTAGCTTCAGGTAAAAAGGTGGTAGCTGGCTACACTGCAGGTGTATATATGTGCTAGGACTCTGCATCTAACACGTCATCACTGCTTAGAAATAAAGCTTAACACTACGCCTTGCATTCGACAACCTAACTTTTCGCACTCGTTTAGAGGCTGGAGTAATATCATGAGCCTCTGAGATCATTCGACAACCTAACTCTATCGCATTCGTTTCGAGCTGGGGTAATATCATGAGCCTCGTGGAGATCATTCAACAACCTAACTTTTCGCATTCGTTTAGAGGCTGGAGTAATATCATGAGCCTCGTGGAGATCATTCAACAACCTAACTTTTCGCATTCGTTTAGAGGCTGGAGTAATATCATGAACCTCGTAGAGATCATTCAACGACCTAACTTTTCGCATTAGTTTAGAGGCTGGAGTAATATTATGAACCTTGTGGAGATCATTCAACAACCTAAACTTTTCTTTCGTCAAATTTTTCGTTTAGAGGCTGGAGTAATATTATGAACCTTGTGGAGATCATTCAACAACCTAACTTTTCGTATTCGTTTAGAGGCTGGAGTAATATTATGAGCCTCGTGGAGATCATTCAACGACCTAACTTTTTGCATTCGTTTAGAGGCTGGAGTAATATCATGAGCCTCGTGGAGATCATTCAACGACCTAACTTTTCGCATTCGTTTAGAGGCTGGAGTAATATCATGAGTCTCGTGGAGATCATTCGGCAACCTAACTTTCCGCATTCGTTTAGAGGCTGGAGTAATATCATAAACCTCTTGGAGGTCATTCGACAACCTAACTTTTCGCATTCGTTTAGAGTCTGGAGTAATATCATGAGCCTCGTGGAGATCATTCGACAACCTAACTATCTCGCATTCGTTTAGAGCTGGGGTAATATCATGAGCCTTGTGGAGTGTATCGTCAATTTCTTCTTTCGAGTAAAGCTGCAGTCACAAGAAAAGCACTTGTGACGCTGGTTGGCTCCATGGGCAGTCCAGTGCCTCTTGAGATGACCTTTCGAAGCCACTCTGAGTCCACATTTTGGACAGATCTTAGCTGGGTTGGAGGTCCTAGGGGTCGTTTTCTGAGCCTCTCCATCAATAACAAGAATATCTTTACACCCATTCAGGGAAAGGGGATGGTAACAATGATGGGGTACAACTTCATGCTGGCATTTTTGTTCAGTTGGATGTCACCACCTTGGTTACCACACTCATTTCCTGTTCGTTTTTTTTTCATTTGATAATGGACTAAAATTAGTTATATGGGGATCTATGTTTTCTTTGGCTTCATTCTTTTTTATATTGCTAACTAAGCGTTTAGCTTTTGAGAGTGCAGATGGCTGGGATAGTAACTCAAATAGTTGTTCATGCGGGGATAGTGGGCCCGTCCTTGGTAGCGCAGACGGTTGGTGTTGGGACAGTGGAGCCGGCAATGACTGTTGGATCGGTAATGGTAGTACAGATGGTTGGTGATGAAACTGGTGAGCCGTCAGTGGTTGAGCAGATGGTTTATGTTGGAAGTCTGAGGCCCACCATGGTAGCACAAATATGGGCAATTTGTCTTTTGTTTGACCGACATCGGCCAATGTTGCTGAACTCTCTCTGTAGTAACGCTGACTAGGCGAATGGCCAACACTGTCCACAGCTTCTCCTTGAGAAATGTTAACGGAACGTAATTTAGCATCGGCTGCCGACACCGCACCTGAAGGAGAGTTTGGTTAACACTACAGTCTACCAACTGCACGTGGGCCAAGGGTGCGTTTTACCTGTAAACACTCAAATTACAGTATATTTAGTGTACACACACACACACACACACAATCTCTCCGTGGGTCCTTAGAGAGGGAGCAGACACACTACGTGTGCCACTAACCAAAATCTTCAACACTTCCTTTGAAACTGGGCAACTACCTGAAGTGGAAGAAGGCAAATGTAGTCCCTATATTTAAGAAAGGAAACAGAAATAAAGCACTAAATTATCGACCAGTGTCACTGACGTGTATAGTATGCAAAGTCATGGAGAAGATTATCAGAAGGAGAGTTGTGGAACACCTTGAGTGGAAAGATTATAAAGGACAGCCCGCATGGATTCATGGAATACAAATCCTGTGTCACAAACCCACTAGAGTTTTATGACAAGGTAACTGAAGTAAGAAATGAGAGGGAGGGGTGGGTTGATTGCATTTTCTTGGACTGCAAAAAGGCCTTCGACACAGTTCCTCACTAGAGATTAGTACAGAAGCTGGAGGAACAAGCACATATAAGAGGAAGGGTACTGTAATGGATCAGAGAATACCTAACAGAGAGGCAACAGTGAGTCATGGTCTGTGATGAGGTATCACAGTGGGTGTCAGTGTTAAGCAGGGTCCCACAGGGGTCAGTCCTGGGACCAGTGTTATTCTTGGTATATGTGAACGACATGACAGAAGGGATACTCAGAAGTGTCCGTTTGCAGATCATGTGAAGTTAATGAGGAGAATTAAATCAGATGCAGACCAGACAGGTCTACAAAGAGACATGGACAGGCTGGATGCGTGGTCCAGCAACTGGCTCCTAGAATTTAACCTCGCCAAATGCAAAGTCATGAAGATCGGAGAAGGGCAAAGAAGACCACAGACAGAGTATAGGCTAGGAGGCCAAAGACTGCAAACCTCATTCAAGGAGAAAGATCTAAGAGCGAGTATAATACTCAGTACATCGCCAGAAGCACACATTAACCAGATAACTGCTGCGGCACATGGGCGCCCTGCAAACCTGAGAATAGCATTCCAGTACCTCAGTAAGGAATCGTTTTAGACTTTATACACTGTACATCAGGCCCATACTGGAGTACGCAGCACCAGTTTGGAACCCGCTCCTGGTCGAACATGTCAAGAAATTAGAGAATAGAGAAAGTGCAAAGGTTTGCAACAAGGCTGGTTCCCGAGCTAAGGGGAATGTCCTATGAAGAAAGGTTAAGGGAAATCGGTCTGACAACACTGGAGGACAGGAGGGTCAGGGGAGACATTATAATGACATACCAAAATACTGCATGGAATAGACAAGGTGGACAGAGACAGGACGTTCCAGAGATGGGACACACAGACAAGGGGTCAAAATTGGAAGCTGAAGATTCATACGAGTCAAAGGGATGTTAGGAAGTATTTCTTCAGCCACAGAGTTGTTAGGAAGTGGAATAGTCTGGCAAGCAATGTAGTGGAGGCAGGAACTATACATAGTTTTAAGACGAGGTATGATAAACCTCATGGAGCAGGGAGAGGGAGGACCCAGTAGCAATCAGTGAAGAGGCAGGACCAGGAGCAGAGTCTCGAACCCTGCAACCACAATTAGGCAAGTACAATTAGGTGAGTACACAGTCCACTGAGCATAGGGGCTCCAGCAAGGGCAGGGATTGAAGGCAGGAACGTTTCAATGGAAGGAACTATAACACCTCAGAGGATGCAAAGGGAGACAGTGGGAGGATGACAGGGAGAGGTCAGTTTTTGTCTACGGGCTCCAGGAAGTTGAAGGGGCAACCTACGATGAAAGAAAACAGGAGGAGAAAAAAGCGATTGAAGCTATCATGAAAGCAATAGGTGAGGGCGACATGACCCAGGTGACAAATTTTAGGAGAATTGGGTGGTTTGTGAGTGGAAGGAAACGGCCTGTCAAAGTAATTTTCAAGGCAGAATCAGCTCGAACCAGAATCCTGCAGGAGAAAAGACGACTGGGGGACAAACTGGAGTACCGGAGAGTGTACCTCGACGCAATCTTCCGACTGGGATATCAGATCCTGAGGAAAGAAGGAGAAGAGGGGGAGAAGGGGTTGCACTGCTTATAACAAGCCGATGGGGATTTGAGGAAATGGAAGGCATGGACGATATTGGAGAAAGGGATTACATAGGTACAATTCAGTCTGGGGAACATAAGGCAGTCTTTGCAGTGATATATAACCCGCCACAGAACTGCAGGAGGTCAAGAGAGGAATACAAGGAGAGCAACAGAACGATGGACACACTGGCTGAGGTGGCAAGAAGAGCTCACTCGAGCAGAGCAAAGTTATAGGTTATGGGCGATTTCAACCACAGGGAGATCGATTGGGAAAACCTGGAGCCACATGGGGGTTCCAAAACATGGAGACAAGATGATGGATGTGGTACTGGAAAACCTCATGCATCAACATGTCAGGGACACTACCAGAGAGAGAGAGAGAGAGAGAGAGAGAGAGAGGAGGATGAACCAGCAAGACTGGACCTTGTGTTCACCCTGAGCAGTTCAGACATTGAGGACATCACATGAAAGGCCCCTTGGAGCTAGTGATCACGTGGTTCTGAGTTTTGATTATATAGTAGAGTTACAAGTGGAGAGGGAAACAGGAGTTGAATGGGAAAAGCCAAACTATAAAAGAGAGGACTACACAGGTATGAGGAACTTCTTGCAGGAGGTTCAGTGAGACAGAGAATTGGTAGGAAAGTCGTTACCAGGAACGCTTGAAGTTCCTAAACCTGTACTCCCTAGAATGCAGGCGGGAGAGATACATGATTATTTTCACTTGGAAAATCCTAGAGGGGTTAGTACCAAACTTGCACACGAAAATCACTCCCTACGAAAGCAAAAGACTCGGCAGACGATGCAACATCCCCCCCCCCAATGAAAAGCAGGGATGCCACTAGCACGTTAAGAGACAACACAATAAGGTCCAATAGGGGTCCAAGACTGTTCATCTGCCTCCCAGCATACATAAGGAAGATTACCGATAGACTCCTGGCTGTTTTCAAGCAGGCACTGGACAAGCACCTAAAGTCAGTACCTGACCAGCTGGGCTGTGGTTTGTACATTGGATTGTGTGCGGCCAGCAGTAACACAGCCTAGTTGATCAGACCCTGATCCACCATGAGGCCTGGTCACAGACCGGGCTGCGGGGGCGTTGACCCCCAGAAAACTCTGCAGGTAAACTTCAGGTAAACTACAATCTTCAACACATCCCTTGAAACTGGGTAACTACCTGAGATATAGAAGACGGCAATGTAGTTCCCATTTTTGAAAGTCAGAAAAGAGGCACTAAATTACAGATCAGTGTCACTGATGTGTATAGTATGCAAAGTCACGGAGAAGATTATAAGGAGGAGAGTGGTGGAGCACCTGGAACGGAACAAGAATGTAAATGACAACCAGCACGGATTCATGGAAAGCAAATCCTATGTCACAAACCTTTTGGAGTTTTATGATAAAGTAACAGAAGACACGAGAGAGAAAGAGAGAGAGAGAGAGAGAGAGAAAAGAGAGAGAGAGAGAGAGGAGAGAGAGAGGGGTGGCTTGACTGCATTTTCTGGACTGCAAGGCCTTCGACACAGTTCCTCACAAGAGATTAGTGCAGAAGCTAGAGGATCAAGCGCGTTTAACAGGAAGGGCACTGCAGTGGATCAGAGAATACCTGTCAGGGAGGAAACAACGAGTCATGGTAGGTGATAAGGTATCACAGTGGGCACCTGTGACTAGCGGGGTCCCACAGGGGTTGGTCCTAGGACCAGTGCTATTTTTGGTATATGTGAATGACATGATGGAAGGGATACACTCAAAAGTGTCCCTGTTTGCAGATGTGAAGTTAATGAGAATTAAATCAGATGAGAATCAGGCAGGACTTCAAAGAGACTTGGACAGGCTGGACACCTGGTTCATCAACTGGCTTCTCGAATTTAACCCCGCCAAATGCAAAGTCATGAAGATCGGGCAAGGGCGAAGAATACTGCAGAGTATAGGCTAGGTGGCCAAAGATTGCAAACCTTGCTCAAGGAGAAAGATCTTGGGGTGAGTATAACACAGAGCACATCTCCGAAACTACGCATCAACAAGATAACTGTTTCAGTACAAGGTCGCCTGGCAAACCTGAGAATAGCATTCCGATACCTTAGTAAGGAATTGCTCAAGACACTACACTGTACGTCAGGTCCATACTGGAGTAT